CCCTCAGCGCCGCTGAGGCCCTCAGCGCCGCTCCCCCGCTCGGACCAGGCCCCACACCCCCCCCACCTGCACGTAGTTTTGCCCACGCCGCCTTTCCCCCCCACGAAGATCCATTTGAGGCTCCGCTGCTCGATGATGTTTGCCAGCGTAGGCTCCAGCGGCTCCACGTCGGGCGCATCCTCGAACTCCTCCGCCTCCGGCCCCCATCCGCCCGCCGCCGCCGCCGCCATCTTCCCCCTGCGCCGCCGCCAGCACTCCCGCTGCGCTGATTGGCTACCGCTCCTCCACCCTTCCACACCTCCGCACTCGGATTGGGCGGTAGGCCCGTCAATCCGCGGAGAGGCGGGGTAATGCCGCGGGTTGCCGGGCAACGCCATCCCATCAGCCCCCGCGCAGGGTGCTGACGTCATCACGCGTCGCCGCGCATTTCCCGGCGTGCCCCGCGGCGGCGGCGGAGGGGGAAGAAGATGGAGGCGCACGGCGATGAGGGGGAGGCCCCGTCGCCGCCTCCTGGGCCCGGCGGCGGTGTGAACGTCTTCGCCAATGACGGCAGCTTCCTGGAGCTGTTCAAACGGAAGATGGAGGCAGAACAGCAGCGGGAACGCGAAGCGGCGGCCGCGGCAGAGGCTACCGGAGGGGCCGGGCCTGGCCCGCACCGCTCGGCCGATGGGGCGAAGAGGAGCGGCGGCGCTCTGGGCTTCGTAAGGACGTGGGGGGCCGCGGCCTCCTCCTTCCCTCCTCCCCGCCCGGGTGCGGCCTCCTCAGAGTCCCTTCCTGAGGGAGGGCCTCGGGCCCCGGTATCACGGGGGTCCTTTGAGGGTTGCGGTGACCGCTGGGGCCCTGTGAGCCAAAGTGGGAGGGGGCTTCGGGGTGGAACTGAGCCCATCTCAGCCCTTTTCTTCGGGAGAATCCCGGGCCCGTTTCACAGACAGGCTTTCTTGAGAGTCCTGTGGGGCTTCGGTGGGTGCTGAGGCCCTTTGAGCCGAAGGAATTCTCGGGGAGGGAGCACTGAGACCCTCAGATCCCCCTTGTATGGGAGGACCCCTGGCCTTGTGTCACAGGAGGGCCCTAAAAGGGCTGGAGAGGAGTCTGGGTGGAGCATGGAGACCCTCTTGGACTCTGATTTCACAGACAGACCTTCCTGGGGCCCTCTGGGGATGCTGGGACCCTTTGAGCTGAAGCGGGGAGCACTGAAACCCTCAGTCCTCAAAGAAGTGGGGTGACCCCAACGCCTCTGTACCCCAAAGGGGTTTTTGGGGGCTCCTCCCAGCGTTGCCAACCCCCTTCCCTGAGAAGCTGCCTGTCCGTGGGATGGGATGGACGGACAGAGGGATGCAGCGGCCCTGACGGACGGCCCTCCGGTTCCGTTGTGCAGGGGGTGATGCTGTCCCCGCGTGCGTAACGCTGGCAGTCTTCTGTCCCTTCACCAGGTGGGCAGGAGGCGAGGGGGAAACAAACTGGCCCTGAAGACCGGCGTGGTGGCAAAGAAGCAAAAGACCGACGAGGAGGTAAGGATGGGGGGGGGAGTGGGGCTGTGACCCCCCCGCCCCCTTCACCTCGGGGTGCCTGTGTGGAACGGGGGATCCCACTCTCTGCTGGGATTTTGGCCCTGTTCCTGAAGCCACGGGGACAAACAGCCTCCGTTGGGTCCACCCTACCTCATCCCACCAGGGCTGTGCACTCTGCTCCCATTTCCCCCCCATTGAAGTTCTCGCAGTGCTTCCCTCTCCCAATCCTCTCCAATGCTTCCAGTTTCTCGGTCCTTTTGCACCCCAATACCCCCATTTCTCCCCTCCCAGAGCTCCCAGTTCTCCCCCCATATGCTCCAGTTCAGTTTCCCAGTGCTCCCCATTCCCCCTCATTATTTTTTTTTCCCCCCTTTTCTCAGGTTTTGACGAGTAAAGGTGACGCCTGGGCCAAATACATGGCAGAGGTGAAGAAGTACAAAGCACATCAGTGCAGTGATGACGACAAAACGCGGCCCCTGGTGAAATAACCACCCCACTCCCAGGACATAATTACTGTACATAATTAATTATTTAAGGGCACAGGCGGCTCCTTCCCGGCGTTTTTATATGTACAAATATATATATCCCCACTGCACCCCAGGACTCTGCCGCCTGTGATACCTTGGGGGAGGGTGGGGTGGGGGGCACAGCCCCCTGCCCGCTGCTCACCCCCTCTGCAGGACCCTCACAGCCACGTTCCCCCCCTCCCCTTCCCCCTACCCGACTCCGTTTTGGGGTTAAAAATGGAGAACTGGGGGAGGCTGAGGGGAGAGGTGCTGCTGTTGCTTCATTAAAGATCTCGGAGGTTTTGGAGAGTGTGGTGGTGTTTTTGGGCTGGGGGCTGCGCTGTGGTTTTCCTGCCCAGCTCAGTACTTCTGCTGTCACCATAAGTTTGTGGTTTTGGGTTTCTGCTGGTGGGAGGTGATGCCCAAACCTCGTTGTGCCCCCTGGAAGCGGTGTCCAAATCCTTTTAGGGGAGGTGGGATGGGGTGATGTTGAGGTTCTCCTTTCCCGGTGCCCCCAGGTTTGTGCCCCCAGTTTCCTACCCCTAACGCACCCTCATTCCCTTCTCCCAGTGCCTCCAGTTCCCCTGGAGTTCCCCACTTTTCCCCTCCCACTGAACCCAGTTTCCCCATTTGCTGCTCTCCCACTGCTCCCCGTTCCCTTACTTCACCCGTCCCAGTTCTGTCAGTACACCTCAGTTCCTCCTCCCACAGCTCCCAGACCAGCGCTGTAGAACCGGGACGGCGCAGGGCGGGGCCCGAGAGGTGGGAAATGTAGTCCGGAAGTTGAATGATGCGCTGTGCGCATGCGCAACACCACTTCCGATATAGGCCACACCCCTTCCGGTATAGACACAGCCCCTTCCGGTATAAACCCCGCCGCCAGACGCAGGCAGCCTCTCGCGCTCTCACGTGGTCACGTGGTGCGGCGTACGGTGGCCGGCGTGGGTCAGTGCCCGCGTGCCGCGATCCGCGGGCAGCGCCCGGTGCCCCCAGGCCGAGCTCAGCCCTCCGCCCCGGCGCCCCCCCCCGGGCTCGGGAGCGACCCCCGGGAGGTACGGGGAGGAGCGGGGGGGGAGAACGGAGCTTGAGGGGGTGGAAGTGGGCCTGGAACGGGGAAAGGGGCGTGAGGAGGGGGGGGAAGGGGGTCTGTGGGGGTGGGAGGGGCCTGGGGGGGGGGAATGGGGC